TATACCTAGAATCTTCAAGCACAAAGTCAATTAGTCTAGCCTTCTTCCCTGCTATTAGCTTCTCCACTGGAGAATATATCTCCACAATACGACCAAGGACATCTGAATTTATAAAAAAACAGCATAGTAATTAAATAAAACATAACATCATAATAGAGGTAATAAATCATATTGACTTTAGAATTTTTATTTTAATATAACCTATCAAGACTTTCTCATCAATTCCCTGCTTTGAAAGTATGTCTTCAAAACTCTTGAAGCGAAACATTGTTTTGGGAAAATTCACACGCTTATATTCCTTCACAAGTGTATCATGTTTGATCTTCATCATGTAACGATGAGGGCTTGTTTTATACTTGAAGAAGTTAGTGATGCATAGGAAGTTTCTAATGCCATACACTTTACCCTCCTTGAATATGTTCTTATATTTTGCCACAACATCCTTAGGTATATGGACATGGATGAACAGACCCTGTATTTAGAACAAAAATGGTAAACAACAAAGTTAGATATTAAAAATATAAGAGGTGCCAAACATAAGAATAAGAATTCAAACAATGGTAGATATAGATATAATTGACAAACCTCTTGATCATGAAATATACATTCTTGACTTCTTATTAACTTTTCGCCTTTGTTTTCAGTAACAACGTAAGAACGCACACAACGCAACCTTATAGCCTTTGAAGTTTGCTGAGGATGAAGCTGACCCCCCACGATAAACTGGCCAAACATGATGACACTGCAAGGCAGAAAACAAAGCATTAAACAGGATCTTTGACAGCTTAGATTTCTATTTGAATTGCATAAGGGATCAGCAATCTCAACCTTGTAATTTACCACACTTAGCTTTGTTTTTGCATTGAAGCTCAACACTCACAATAAGCATGTATTTATAGCCGAGGAAGTGAGCGGGAGCAATGTATAAATAATAATAGAGTACATGTACTTGTAAGCAATCCCATACCCATCCACACTACTTCTACACGCAACCCAATCTGATTACAACACTAAATATGGAGTAGATAATAGCCCACTCCCCTAAATTGTAGGAGTAAGATCACAACTATCTTATCACAATCTAAATAGGCGGGAGAAACAAATTTTTTGAAATCAGACTTTATAAGTTAAAGGAAAACGACGCCGTAGAATATTGTGGCTGAAAAACAATTTTGATATATTTTTTTTTGATAAGAAGCGGCTTCCTTTATATATATATAGATGAGTTCCACTCCCACATCATCACATTTACAAATTCTCTACAATTTATTCTACATCATTAGGGCATCCTCAATAATTGGGGATTTTCCTCCACATTTTTGTGGGCCCCAACATCCATATCATCATCCACTATCTCACTCAATCACAAAAACTCTTCTTCACACTCTCAATGTTGGCAGTGAGACGCGTTTCGCGTCTCACTTGTACTTTTACTTTTTAAAAAAAAAAAAAAAAAAGCTGACAAGAGTTTGTTTTTTTGCAAGAGAAAGAGTTCTTCTTAATTCATCCACCCCATTTGTCAAAAGTTGGGCTTCCAAAATTTTACTATTCTAAGAACCTTGAATGCACCCCTTAGGGGATGCCTTTACAAATCTCTTTCACTCTTAAAAATAGTCCCACTTTAATATTATATTATAAATATAATACTAAAATAATAATAAATGAAATTAAAAAAAAAATGAAAAGTACGCTGCCTGGCAGCTTTTGCTGCCAAGCAACTTGGCTTGCAAATTTGCAAGCCACATGGCAATAAAAAAATTGAAAATAACATTTACTTTTTCTATGTCATCTTTTTTTTTTTTTTTTTAGAACAAACAGCTTATATTAAGTCATAAGAAAGAGGAATACAGATGAAGGAAGGAGGGGAATAAGACCACTCCTTACGTTCAGACAAAGAAAGGGACTCCCTTGCTAAGCGATGGGCCGTCCGATTCGCAGAACGTTTTACAAAAGAGAGACAACAGTGAGCGAAAGTGCTCATCGAATCTTTTACATCAGCTAATAGAAGATCAAAAGAAGAGACATTTGCTAAAGAATTAATCCCCTGGACTGATAAAAGGGAGTCAGTCTCAACTTGCAGGAAATCAAAATCGCATCTTTTAGACCAGCTGAGAGCCTCCCTTATCGCAAGTGCCTCTGCTTCTCTAGGGGAAAAAACACCATTCCATGGGCAGCAAACTGCATTAAGAAACCTTCCATGGTCATCACGTAGTACCCATCCCAGACCCATTTTACCGGAGGTAGTATCCAATGCGGCATCAACATTCAGTTTTAACCATCCCTGTCTTGGCTTTGTCCATCTTGTAGTGTCCGGAATCTGCCGTTGAGTCTGATTGACAACCGCTTCTGTACAATCTTCCCAATCCTTCGTGAAAGCCCGTGCTCTCTCGACTATGGCCCTTGCAGAGGTGGATTGGTTCCTCCATACCTTGTCATTCCTTGCCCGCCATAAATTCCAGCAAATAACGAGAAACAAACGAGTCAAAGGTGGCCGTAAGGAATCAAAAATCTGGGAAAACCAAGTTGAACAGTTCTGAGCATGGTCCTTGTCCGGCAGCTGTCCAAATAGACTCCAACATTGACACGCAATTCTGCAGTAGGCTAGGAGATGGAAGGCAGATTCATCAGCTTCACGGCACAGAAGGCAAAGTGTATCGCATTCAATTCTCCTTTGGCGAAGCTTGTCAGTAGTTGGTAAACATCCACTGCATACCTGCCAGATAAAAGTCTTGATTCTAGGAGGTAAATGAACATTCCACACCATCGACCATTTCCGAGATGCATCACAAGAGAAGTCTCTCATGATAGATTTGTAGCAGCTCCTAACAGTGAAGATCCCTTTCTCATCCTTATCCCAAATGACCATATTTTCTTTGTTAACCTTCGAAATTGGAACACTTAGAATCAGCCGAGCATCTCTGTGATTGAAAATATCTTTCACCACATCCTCATCCCATCCTGACCCTTGAATATTAAGGAGAGAGTTGACAGTTGCGTTTTGGAGATAAGGGTAAGGAGGTGTGGTAACCATAGGATTTACAGCATCCGGGAGCCACTTGTCGTGCCAGATTCGAACAGCATTGCCATTGCCTATCCTCCATCGGCTGTTGCGGAGGATGATTTCTTTCGTCTCCAGGAGGCTAGACCAAACAAATGACGGATTGCCACCTTTGCGAGCATCAACAAACTGTGAGTCTGGAAAGTACCTGGACTTCATAATTCTAGCAGCAAGGGAGGAGGGGTTCTTAATCAAACGCCATGCTTGTTTTGTGAGCATAGCCATGTTAAAATCCTTGAGCCTACGAAAACCCATTCCCCCCCATTTTTTAGGAACACAGAGCTTCTCCCACGCCATCCACCTAAGACCCTTACTTTGCTCTTTCCCGTTCCCCCACCAAAAAGCATTCATGGTTCTCTCAATCTCACTCACCAGCCCATGGGGTAAAAGAAATAAATTCATGGCAAAAGACGGGATTGCTTGTATAACACTTTTTAGGAGGACCTCCCTACCCGCACGAGAAAGGAATTTGTGATTCCATGCATTTATCCTTGCTACAATTTTATTCTTAATAAAGCCCAGGATGTCCCTCTTATTTCTGCCAACTAAAGAAGGAAGCCCCAGATAATTGCCTGCATTACCCACCATTCTAACTCCTAAGATTGAGCCAACAGACTGCCTAATCCCATCCCCCACATTTTTGCTGAAATTTAAGGAAGATTTATCAAAGTTTACCAGTTGCCCTGTAGCTGCAGTGTAGGTGTCCAGAATCTGTTTACACGTACTGCTTTGAGCTTGGTTGGCCTTGAAGAAGATGTAACTATCGTCTGCGAACAGGAGGTGTGAGATCCTAGGGGCAGAACGAGCAATCTTTACCCCATGAAAAGAACCTTGAGATTCCTGCTTCCTGATAAGAGCACTTAAGCCCTCCCCCACCAGAATGAAAAGGTAAGGAGAAAGAGGGTCTCCTTGTCTAAGCCCCCTATGAGGAATAATAGGACCAAGCTCCTCTCCTTCCCTTTGAATAGCATACTCCACCGTACAGACACATTCCATGATCAACTGCACCCACCTCTCACAGAAACCAAACTTTGTCAGCATAGCTTTTAGCATATTCCATTCAATCCTATCGTATGCCTTGCTCATGTCGAGCTTCAGAGCTGCATAACCTTCAGAACCTTGTCTCTTGTTTTTTAGAAAGTGCTGGGCTTCAAACGCGATCATGATATTATCGGTAATCAGCCGGCCAGGGATGAAAGCGCTCTGGTTCTCCGATATGAGTGTGTCAAGAAGTGGCTTCAACCTGTTGGCTAGCACCTTAGCAAAGATTTTGTACACCACATTACAAAGCGAGATTGGCCTCAAGTCTCCCATCGTCTCTGGCTTTGTTTTCTTTGGGATGAGAACTAGCAGGGTGTGATTTAGGCCTTTTGGGAGATGTCCAGTAGAGATGAAGTCATTACATAATCTTACGATGTCAGGACCCAGCACGTCCCAATATGCTTGGAAGAACCCCGGGTTGAAGCCATCGGGCCCCGGCGATTTGTCTGGATGCATCCCGAAGATTGCCTTTCTGACCTCTTCCGGGCTTGCATGTCGAATCAGAGCTGCATTTTGGACTTCCGAGATACTAGGCGTAATGCACTCCAGAACTGGATCCATGTCACCCTGAGTGGAAGTGAACAGACTCTTGAAGTAAGATACCATCAGGTTGTCTAAGTCTGGACCTTTCTCACACCATACTCCACTACCATCCTTAAGTTTAGGGATGTAGTTGTTTTGTTTCCTGCGCTGACAAGTCTTATGGAAGAAGCTCGAATTCACATCCCCTCCTTTGAACCAGTGAACTTTAGCCCTCTGTCTCCAAATGGTATGTTGTTGGTTTAGTAAAGATAGATAATTTCTTTGAGCTTCAGAGTACTCTGCCAAACCATGAGAATCAACTCTTTTACTTAGATAGTCCATCTGCTTAGCCCAATAGTCTATTTTAGGTTGGAAATTCCTATTCATCTTTCTTCCCCATTCCCAAATAGCTTTGCTGCAAGTATCCAGTCGAATTAATAAGTGTAGACCGTTCGACTGCCCCCCAACAAGCCGTGACAATCTCTCTGCATTGATTCTCCTTCAGCCAAACATTTTCGAATTTGAACTTGTTTCTTCTTTGACGACGGGCAGTAGGGACCGTACATAGCAGCATTGGAAGATGGTCACTAGAAGGCACGGAGATGGACCTCGCCCTTGCATCGCCAAACCGCTCTAACCAAGCATCATTGACCAATATCCTATCAAGCTTTTCCTGAATCCAGTTTGGAGTACCCCTTGACTTTTCCCAGGTGAATTGACATCCATCAAAATCCAAATCTCTAAGACCGCTGCTTTCAATGGCTTCGTTGAAGCCTCGGATTAACCATTGAGGGTGCGGATGCGTTCCTTTCTTCTCGGATGAGCTCCGAATGTCGTTAAAATCACCCATTAACGCCCATGGAAGAGGACTTAGGGTAGCTAGATGCCGCAACCTTTGCCAAGATTCACGCCTACGATTACTCTTGGGGTTCCCATAAAAGCCAGTATATCTCCAAGGTTCAAGGCTTGTTTCTGTTGTTATCATAGCATCGATATGGTACCTAGAAAAGCCCAAGATGCTAACTTCAGATTCCTCCTTCCACAACAGAGCAAGACCTCCACTTCGGCCCAAGCTATCCACCGTAAATAGCCCAGTGTAGCCCACTTTATTCTTAATAGTCTGCATCTTAAAATTATTAGAGAAGGTTTCCATAAGAAAAATCACATTTGGCCTCTTAGAGTGGATCAAGTCCACTAAAACTTGAACTGTCTCTAGGTTGCCAAGCCCACGACAGTTCCAAGCTAGATAACTCATTGTGATAGGCGGGCCTGTCCAGCAGAGCCCGCCTCTAACACATTTTTTAGCCCAACAACGTTGCAGCCCTCATCCTCAACTGCCATAAATTCCTCTTCATTACTGGTGCCATCACCCGGCCCATCCATCTCTTGGGCTCCCCTTTTTCTGTTTTGTTCACTCACAAGAAAATCCAAAATAGATAGGTGGGATGGGAAGTTTGAATTTACGTTGACATTACTATCATTAATAATGACAGGCTGTGAATTAAATTCTTCTGACCTCTGCATGCTCACGCCTTCTGTAGTCTGGTTATTACCCCCTGAGTAAAACCTTGTACCATGAACCGGCTGCCCTCTACCATCCTCGTACCTCAGGAAACTCCCTTCTCTCTCCGGCTGGTTTCCATCACTTTGACTCTCCTCCGGCGCCGGCGAAAAACAGGATGGCAGCTCAGATCGAAACCATCTGCTGGCCTGAATGGTAGTGCTACGTCGTGAGACTCTCAGCTCAGGTCCATACAACTTCACAAAGGTGTCTTCATTGATGGCAAGTTGATGGGGGCAGTACTTCTCAGCATGACCCAATCTTCCACAGATGAAACAAAAAGTTCGTAGTCTTTCATATTTGCATTCTAGCCATACACTCTCTCCATTAGGCTGCTTAATCTTCACTCCTCTCCTTAAAGGCTTGTTGACCTCAATGATCGTTCTTATGCGTATGAATGCATTCCAAGTGCCGTCATAGTTTGAAGTGTCTGCTTTGACAAAGGTCCCCAGATTTGCTCCAATCATCTCCACCATTTTCATGTTTGTGAGAGCACGGGGTATCTTATGAATCTGGATCCAGAACTCAGCTTTGTCCAGCTTGACATCATAGGGGGAAGTGTTGTCTCCGAGCTTTTGGAGGATGAGCAAGCTTTGATCATATGACCAAGGGCCATCATCTAGGACTCTCTGCATGTCTTTAGCATGGAAGAAGTAAAAGACAAAGAGATTTGGGGAGATTTCTTTTGCCAACATACCCTTTATCGGTCTCCAAACGGTTGCTAAAACATCCTTCATGTAATTGAACTTCACCATTTTGTCTGTAAGCACCGTTCCAACAAGAGTGAAAACTTCCTCGTCTTCTGGGGGATTGAAGGTTTCCTCGTCGATTTGGATTTCTGCTTCGTCCGCATCGTGGATATTCAAGGCTGCGTAGTATTCTTCCAATGGTTCCTTGCCTTTGCTAGAAGAAGCCATGTGAGTAAAAGCAGAGAGGAAACGTAAGGTAGATAGGAGAATACTGGACAAATTTGGAGGGAGGGAGCTGATTGATTCTGCAGAGTTCAATCTTAATGGTACACGGTCTAGATCAAACTGTATTGACGAAGGTATAAAGGGTGTCTGGTTTAACTCCATGCATTAACTGCCGAAGAGACAAACCTCAACCACTACAATCGAACAGAGTAAATGCAGCCACTATAGGATCTGAATAAAAGAAAAACAACCATAAATGCAACGGAGACAGAGAGGAAGAAAGGAAAAGCTTGTCAAGGGGACAAGAGGAAGAACTTGCTAAGGAGGCAAGAGGAGCCAAGGGGACAAGAGGAAGAACACAGTCTCCTTATTGTAAAGGCAAAAATGGCCCCTATGTCATCTTGTCAAGCCCTTGTTTGTAGAGATAATATTAGCCTTTCTCTTAAAGGCCAAGACATAGAATAAGATTAGCTGGATTTTAGATTTTTGGTATCTAGTCTAATTATCTTGTCATTTTAGATAAAGGTCAAATGGACCATCGAACTACACACCAAATTTCAATTAGGCCATCCAACTAAAAAAAATTACAATTAGGTCCTTGAATAGTACAAATTCAAGTAATTAACCCTAAAGTGACCTATTGACCAGGTAATTAGATAACATGGCATTTAAAGTTAATTTATATTTTTAAAAATTATTTTAATCATTTTTAAATAAATAAATAAAACTTTACAAAATAATAATAATAATAATAATAATCTACCGGCGATTCCCTCCTTCTCTGTTGTAGGATGAATAGTGTTGGCACTCATTGTAGTCTGCAATCTTGATCTCAATTCTCAGCACCACCCTCATCTTCACCGTCCAACCCATGAAATCCATCATTGTTGTTGCCGTCTCCGAAACGCCGCACCTCACTCTTGCCCAAATCGCCATCGACACCACACTCTTCATCATCGGCGCCACCGGCATCATGTCCTTCTTCTACCACTTCATCTCCCTCACCTTCGTCTGCGCATCCAGCTTTCTCAATGCCTTTCTTTTGACTTCTCCGCCACCAAATACATACACTATAATCAAGGCTACACCACCACCAAGGCTGCCCGCAGCAACCCCCCCCCCCCCCCCCATCCTGGCTCGGGCTTGACGGCCTTATTCTCGCCCTAGTCTGCCTCTCTTTCCTCGTACCCGGCTCCGGCGAAGTGGCGGAGGAGACTACAATCTCAACTCACACAACCACCGAAAAATGCAAGCGTTTAAGAACACTGTCAAAAATTATGTCTGCTGTAATAGTATTCTTGCCGGAGATGAAGGAGGGGGAAGCGGTTGCCCTGGTTTTGTTGGAACAGGCTCATCATAAACCGGGTATAGATGTAGGACGAGAGATAAGAAAAGAGTAACTTTATTACTCAGGGGCTAAACCTAAAATAGTACGTACAAAGTCTGAGACACCGGTCCAAAGAAGACATAAATAACAAATACTATAGCCCTAAGGAATGAAATATGACGCAAAATGGCGACCCAAATAATAAATAAATAACACAAGCTAAAGGATGGACTCATGGATGGTTGACAAATGGATGGCATCGGGCAGACTTCATTCTTGGCCGCACATGTGTCCCCCCACTACTTTGCTCCCGGGCGCACTCCATGCATAAGTGGAGCTTCCTGCCCTTTAATACACAAGATCTTGAGTGGTTTGGTCATTTGGAACTTGTGTTGTTATGCTTGAGGTTGTGGGTTTGATACCTCTTAGTAACAAGCTGGACACCCCACTTGGGTAGTTGGCCAAAACTTTCTCAATAGAATAGACACCCGGTGTCCTATAAAAATATTTTTTTATATTTATACTTTTCCGTATAAAAAAAAAATAGAAAAACATCTTTATAAACACATTTGAATCGAGCTCGAGCTTGTGTCGAGTCTAAATTGAGCTCAAAAAATAAAATTCAGTCAAACTCAAGCTAAATTTGAACTTCAAGTTTTGACTATGCTCAATTACACCCCAAACTAGTGATTTCAATGCGGACTAGCCCGCCCTACCACAGGTTGAAATTTTTGCAAGCCAACCCACGAAGCTGGTAGGTTAAAATACTTCGACACATAGACCAACTTCAAAAAGAAAACAAAAAAAAAAAAGAATATTTTAAATGCTATATATATATACACGTTACACAGCAGCCAACAAGGGCAGATTGTTGCCTTATTGTGTAACATTTTTTTGGGAAGCCCGCGAGTTGGCCTCCGGCTCGCGAAGGCCAAAATTTTTAGACTCTAACCTAACCCATTGCGGGGAGGTTTAGGACTGACCCACAAGCTTCGGCCCATTTTGATATCCTTACCCCTAACTAAACTTAGTTCCAAGCATTCTTTATTGTCAAAAGCAAAGCGTATTGCCAACTTCACTCAAAGCAAAAATCTCTATAATCCCATTAGCAAGAGCTTTTCCAAATGGGCATGTTGTGATGGGTAAGGGAGAGGGAGAGGGAGAGGGAGGTTAACAATGTGCAGGAAAATACTTATACATAGAGCTTCAACAGATGAAGTGGCTAAGCAATTGAGTTCAAGAAGCAAAAGAATATACTTATACACTGTAGCATTCTTTCAATTTCCATAGCTAAGTGCTGATTCTTCTGTCATATACATCCTCCAATTATAAAGACGAGAGCGAAACAGTTTTAACCATAGGTGGTGTTGGAGTAGAAGTTGAATTATCTGTCCAATTTGTTTCTCCCCAGTGCCATAGCATGCTCTCCCAGAAGCAAAAATCTTCAAAACATATCTGTAATCGCGGGTCTTTTATCTTGACCTTCCAATGGCCATCTGTGTAGTTACCTTTCTCGGCTTCCCTTCGATCCCACTCCAAGGCCGCCTTCTGTTTGGATCTAAGCAAGCAGTACTTGTGCAAGTTCTCCGGCATTGCATCGTGGATTTTCCACCATGTCCTATGCGCAACATCACTTGCAAACTCGTGCAATTTCTCAACATTCCAGTTGCAATCATAGTCGCGGAAGCATAGCCACGGTTTCAACCCTAAATAGTGAAGAACATACAGGACTGGAGGATCTGCAGCAAACAGCTGCGTTTTCATTTCCTTCTTCTCCTCCTCGTCACCTTCCCAATAGTGTTTCAGAAAGTTCATGTGTTTTGGGATTCGGTGCCACCATGTGAAGATCTCGTTCAAATACCCTTGGTCCCCACCGTTGTATGATTCAATCTCATTGATATGATCCATCAACAACTGAAATGTGCAGTTTGATGGTTCAACAACCATCACCCCTGAATTAAACAGTGTAGCATTATTTCCCGTTGCAGTTATTTCTGGCATCTCGAAGAGAAAGTCGATATTTCTTAGTATTAACAGATCAGCATCGATGAAGATGATTTTGTCATAATCTGTCAGCTGCCAGAGACGGAATTTGCTATAGTTCCACTCATTGTAGGCATCTTGTTCAGCTTTTGGGTTTCTGATTCTTTTTATTGTATGAATTTTCCATCCTGCCGCCTCCAATCCTCCCCTATGATAGTCACTAATTGTCTCGTCAACAAGTATCACAAGATCCCGAGTAGAACCCGCCATGCGAATACTCTGAGCTGCAGCTATGGCCCCACACACATAAAAATGTGCTGAGTGCAGGATTGTTGCATATGCTTCTCGACGTGCATTACCAGAGTGCCATTTCTCTGCATATCATTAAAAAAAAAAAAAAAACGCTATTAGCATTTATTATCACATATTAAGGATGAATTGGCTATGGGTGAGTGTAGATGAAAGGAAGA